CTGGTTGCCCTCTAGCACATCTATTCCAGCATTTGTTTAATGGTAAGTTGAATTTATTTGCAACTACTGCTAGCTGAATTGCTCCAAGCATACTGTACTTGTGGATATATAGTAGAACAACTTCTTTTCAATTGTACATGACAAATTGATTATCATGTAGGTATCCTGTAGCCTGAACAGTATGTGTTATGTGTAGGCATCATAGGTCTTTCCCATGTGTTCTGCCCTGGTGCATCTAACTAATTATGATATTTCTTTTGCAGATCACATGATGTCTGTAGATGCCATATGGGAGAACAAAATAATGGCAGAAGCAAAGTGGTACTTGTTGATGTTAAGCGCAATTTCTTGGCATAGTAAGCTCTGAATATGTAATGGAACATGTTTTTTTCATGGGTATTCAAGAGAGTATTGATGATAATCCTACCTGAAACTTACAGATGGCTATGGTACTCAGAATGACATTTCTTACATTTGTCTTTAATTAACTATCTGTTGTTTTGTTGTAGCCTGGGAGCAGTTGGCCTACATTGAGCTGAGAGGAAAGGAAGTAGCTAGGAGGTATATGTATTGCCATTTATTCTATAAAGCAAACGTCACATTTTAACACTAGTATGTATTGTGATCATGAGAACTAACTGTGTACTGTGAAGTGTGAACTAAACTGTTATGTATTGTGATCATGAGAACTTACTGTGTACTGTGAAGTGTGAACTATCTTTGTATTGGTGTGAAATGTACCATATTGTGAAACATGGGGTTCGGAAATGTACACCGTGGATATAGATTTTTTTTATGTAAACTGTTATCAGAGACGCGTTTTGGCTATACGCGTCACTAATGAAAGGGTCATCTGTGACCCGTTTTCTCAATGCATGTCGCTGCTATCTTCACATCAGTGACGCGTCTTCTCAGTACGCGTCGCTTCTATCTCACATCAGTGACGCGTTTTCTGAATACACGTCGCTTCTATATTACATCAGTGACGCTTTTTATGAATACGCGTCACTAATATCTTCACATCACAGACGCGATGTGAGTGACGCTGTTTTTTCCGCGTCACTAATGACCCTCTGGACGCATCACTAATTAGCATTTCTGGCATAGTGATCCTCGCTAGGGCGTTCATGCTCGACAAGGCCACCGTGGACCGGCTCCCGCTGGCATTCGGCGGCGGGACACCGGTGGCCGCCGGCGGCGGCTATCCGGGGTACCCCGGCCGTAACTGATCGGTACGCTAGTGGTGGCTCAACGGCGGCAGCACCTAGCATGCATGGGTCAGGCCACCATACAAGTATAGATATGAATAATTTGTACCACACACCAACACAGACACACAGTACCTGGTGTACTAGCTATATATATTGTGCACGCGCAATGCTGCATTTGTGTTGATCGAGCACAGCAGTGGCTCGATCGGGTTGAATAATTTGTGGCAAAACCGCACCAAATGTACGTACTGCAGTATATTTGAAGGAACGATGGTGCATAGATTTCCTTAAAGACGGTCTCCAACCAGGAACCCATATGAGCACCCAAACCCAAAATGGGTAGCAAGAGATCCAAAATGAGGCTCCAACTGAGTACCTATATGGGAGATCTATTTTGGGTTGCCTGAGAAGCATAACCCAAATATGGGCATCCTCTCTCCCGAAAACCCATTTGTAGAAATGATTCTTTTTTTGGTCTTGTTGTTGGAGAAGATGCCGAATAGATATTGAACATTTTGCCTGTAACGCTACCCAAAGGACAAATATGTCTTATTTTAAGTGTTGTCGTTGGAGATAGCCTCAACCGAACGAAAATTGGTAATGAAACGGGGCCGATCGTGACATGGTGGTTGAGTTGTATGGGCCTGAGTGCTGTTTGACGCACGCACCAGATCGTGACATGCTTATCTGTCTACCGAATCCTAATTACACACACGAAACATTTTGTGAGCATCAGCATATATATCGCTTGCACGCACATGAAGTGCTACTATTACTATTAGCATTCACTCTGTTCGTTCCTAGTGAAAAAGCTAGCAGCTGTAAAAGATCCAGATGCGAGAAGAATCACGGACTGGTGGGTGAACACTACCTTCAATTTTTCTGATCTGTGTGGTTACCTCGGACCGGAGGAAGAACATATGACAAGAGAGGTTTCTATCTATACTGCAATGGTTGAGATGGAGAGATCATTTGCAGTACAGTGTGTATATGTAAAGCAAAAGGGATCGAACGGTGTCGAACCAAATCGATCATAGCTACCTGCTACGAGAGCTTTAGCGCTTGTTTTGCTTGGGAGCCATAGGATGCCACGGCTTAAAGGTTAGAACAGCCAAATTAATAGAGAGAACTCCAAATGTGGCAAATTTAGAATGCCGCTGTTGTTTAAATATATGGCAGATCTGTGCAGCAACCGTATGGTTCTGTGGTCACAACATGAATATATGATTGATGAAAACTTCCTGCATTGGTGCATTTTTTCTTGCCACAAGCCAAAAACATCCCAAGGCATTTTGTTAGCTAATGCCACAGGTTACACGGTCCAATGCAACAGCAGTCATCCTTTCGAGATGACATATGTTTATGCTAAACGACATATAGAAAATAACAAATTAATTTATCTACTCTTCTTTTATTCTCTTTCTTTTTTACATTCTAACAACGGCGCGGCGGGCACCGTGGCAGAGTTAGAGGTAGCATCCGATCATGGAACGACGATTATTCTGCCCAAGCCACCTTGCTTGGGCAGTGAGCACATCCCAGCAACAGTTGGATGGTTCTGTTCCTAATGGCATTGGGCTCTTACGCGTTCCTAAACATGTCCTATACAGAAATGTGGGCACATCACATCTTGTCTCCATTTCATCAAGTGTTGATCGAGTGGTCGGGATGGTCTGAGAATCTAGCAACTTAGGAAGATCTGAAGGTTGTGCAACAACAATTCTCTTTTGCACACGCTTGCTGGGATCAAGCTGTATCTCAAGAAAAGGCGATGTCAACAGTCCTGAACATGTGGAGGCAAGTCTAGATGCACGGGATGGGCCGAGGACTGAAGAGGAGGTCCAACAAATGTTGGGTTCCCAGTGGAAGAATGGCTTAATAGTGTGATGTATATACATGGACAGGGCAAGGCCGCCAATGTAACTGAGGCGCCTTAGCTGTTTAGGAGGTGTGGTAGCTGTTAGAGCAAGTATAATAGCAGACTGTAAGCTGGCTAAATGCTGCCTAAATATTGAGATGGAGGAGAGAAGAGAGAAGAGAGGAGAGACGGACTATAAGCTTACAAAATTACAATTAGGCACGAGAACCAAGAAACTCTGTGAGAGAGACAAATGTGCTATATATTAATAGAGAACACCTGGCTACTATATGAGTAGCTAAGAGAAGGCTGTAAAGAAACCTTATAGCCAGCAGTCGGCTATATTATTAGCCTTCCTCTTAAATAGCAGAGCGAGTTTAGAGAGAAGGGATCGAAAAGATGAACAAATATACAATAATTCCAAAAATCCTTCCACCGCTCTCCAAATAATCCCGTCCCGCTGTTTTTTTTTAAAGGTACCGCTAGTATTAACATGTGGCAAGCAACAAACTGAGCAAACTCAGCAAGGCTAAGAGCGTGTTGAACAGATATTTCGGCTCAATCTTTGTCGGCAACTCCGTATTGTTTTGTGTTCTGAAAAAGAAAAACTGCAACCTGCGAAGCACACTGCTGTAGACATGGTCTTGGACATGCACAAGGTACAGAGGCACAGAGCCTGCAAAACTACTGGGCTGTAGTTATGGTTAGATGAGCCCATTTGTTAGACACGTGTCTGATCCTGGACTGCAGCCCATTAGGAAGTTCAGCTCCTCGTCGTGGGCTTTTGAGGCCTTGTATCTATCTTTTTTTTGTGTGTGTGTGTGTCCATTTCTACTATTTCGTATTTTATCAAACTTTTATTGTGGCGACAATGAAACCTAAACTCCCCAGGATATTGTCATTTTTACTAAAAAAACAAAGTTTTCACAACAATGGGGTATATTCCCTCGGATATCCTATTCGGACAAATGAGCTAAAAGCCTGGAAATATTGTGATTCACAAAAAAAAGGCAACAAACACTTTTAAATAAAAACTATATATGTTCCTGAAACTGCTAAGGAGGTGATGCACACAACCTTGTCTTTTAAGGAGGTGCCAAGTTAGCTGTCTTTCATAAAAAAAACTACCAGGCGGCCATCCATATATATACAATGTTCTTCATTGGAATGCCAGGCAATACCGAGCAATCGATGGCGTGGCGACAAAGCGGATGAGCTTCCAGACCATATGAAACCACATCAGTCCCTTTCCAACAGGTCATCAGCTGCAGCTGCAACTCTTCGTGCGGCACAATTTTATTTTAGGTGAACGATCGACACATCACTTCAGATAACTACTGCTGCGCGTCGGATTACTCAAATGACTGACTAGATCTCAACTTGGCCAACCAATGATCTGATCAGATGACTAGACGGAGATTCTATAAACTTTTGCTAGTGCGGTCTTGTTTGTTTCGCTAGCTGGGACTACGCTACAAAGTGCAAATCTTGCTAAACAAATATGTATATGTTGGGTCATTTGGACGCACAGGATCACTGGATCACCTTATTTAGCAAAGGTTTCATCTTGACCAACCATGATGTGTTATTTTTAATGGCGAATATGATCTATAGTGGCAGCCCCATTTCGAGAGAATGGGGGTCCGGGCCCTCCACCTAACGGAAGCTTTCGAGAGAATGGGGGCCCGGGCCCTCCACCTAACGGAAGCTAAAGCTCGCACATCGATCAGCTAATAGGTAATGGCTAATGGCTAAGCTCTGATGGCTGATGGCTGATTGCTCATCCACACCATTACCAAGGAGGGAGCAGTAGCCGCAACTAGCAAAAATGGAAGCCGCATACCACCTGCACCGGCGCGATATTTTTCTCCGGGCGCCAGCGGCAATAATTGGGCATATATCTTGAAGCTTACATCACCGATATCTTTTGCTTACGACGAGGCCAGGGATGCAGTAGTGCAGACGAGCCCGCCCCAGCCACCACGGACCTCCTCCAGTCCTCCTCCCCCTAGCAGCGCCAGCCAGCCATCGCTAGCTTCGCCCAGGCACCAATCAGACCCCGGCGCCCGGCATCTCTTCGCTCGTGATTCACCCCCAGCCCCAGGCACCAGCAGCTCTTCCCCTCGATCGGCAGACAGACGAGGGAACAGAAGTGGCCGCGATCCGGCTGCCGGCTCGTGCCCGGCCTCCTGCTTCCAGCTTTCGCGCGCGGCGTGGACGAGGACGATGTGTGACCTTGACATGGCGATGCGGGTGGAGAACAGCGGGCGCCCCCATCAAGGTATGCCCGTGTCCGTGCCCCCCTCCCCCTTCCTCGTCTCGCTTCGGCGACCGTCCCCTTTTGCCCTGCGCGCTTCCGGTTTTTGCCTTTTCCTCGCTTCTGCTGCTGCGGGCTGCGGCTCTATCTGCTGTGCGCGCGCGTGCATCGGCCCGGCCGGCCGTGTCGTCCCGTCAGATCATCGCACAGTTCGCGTGCATGATTGTGCGCCGCTAGGCGCTAGCGGGGCGGGCTCGGGACGGACGGGCCTCTTTTGACCGCGGCCTTCCGGGGCTTCCGGCGTGGAGTGGAGGAATCGCGCTCGTGCTGCCGTGCACGTCGGTCCCTTCCTGTTGTCTCGGCGACCTGTCGAGGGCGCTGTTCGCATGCATGGTCGCGCGGCACGCCCATGCCATGCCGGCCGACTGGGCTTCACATTACACTGTTGCCTGCCCACAGACTGCTGACCGCGCGTGCTCGGGCCTCGGGCCCTCGAGGAACAGTTCGTCGACCGGATCGTTCTGTAGCTCATGAGTTCTTGCACCGTCCCCAACGATCCTCGCCCAAAATATAAACCCATTTGTCAAAAAATACAAGACTCATTCGTCCTTAATAACGCTACAGGTAAAGGGTTTAATATCTATTTTTTGTCTTCTTCAACAACCAGACGTAAAAGATAACATTTTCTGTAAATAGATCTATAAGAGAGAGGATACTCAGATTTGAATTATGCCTCTCCTGGCATGGGTCTTTCATATAGATACTCTGTTGAAGGCTATAAGTATTATGTTATAGAGCTATTTTAGATTTGGGTTCGGTCTCCCGATGGAGACAGCCTTGCTCAGTTTGTTCCTAGCTGCTTTGGGTCGCGTCGTCGTCACCCGTCATCAGTGAACTAAAGCATGCGGTTAGTGATGAGAGGGGATAAACAACGCCTGGGTTGCGGCGAATGCAGTGGCCTATTCAGCCACCTGCCGAGCGTAGCTTGACCGAGAGAAACAAAGCCAGCAGCAGCCTGTAAACAGCTGTGGAGCCAGTCAAGCAGAATGTGAGAATGGCACCAGCTACCTCGGAGGACCGAATGCCATTGTTAGCACAGCTACAAGACATGGATGGATCGTCTTTTTTCACACTGCTGGGCTGCCTGGACGCCCATGCATGCCACAACTGTTCACGGTCGGTGCTCTCTCCATGCATGATGCCCCCCGCTCCATTGCCCTGTTCGCTGGGCTCCATTGTCCTGTTCACTTGGCTGACAAGAGCGAAAAATATTGTTGGCTGATTTGTTACGAGAGAAAAATAATATTCATTGTCTGCAAAAATACTGACCGGTCCGGCCGGTACACACATGAAGCATATCTGCATATCAGCGTATGCATACCCATCTCGTCTTAGGAAAGCTTACCATTATTTATATTCTCTTGATTAATTCTACCGCCCGTCTCATCTTTGGCGTAGTATACACACTACTCCATGTGGACGTTTACAGAGGAAGGCTCGTTTTTAATCCACCGGTACTAACAATAAGGGTATGTTTGGTTTCACCTCCTAAAATTTAGTGACCCTTAAAATTAAATGATACCTCTAAAGTTTAGTGACCTTTGTTTGGTTATAGTGACTAAAGTAGCTATCCCATGTACATTTTAGTCAATTTTAGCTATCCTTGGATGACTAAAAGCCACTAAACTTTAGTGACCCCTAAACTTTAGTGGGATGTTTGGTATTTTAGTGACTACTAAATTTTAGGAGTGGTAAACCAAACAGACCCTAAGTTAAAAAGTTGCTGACTACTCTTAGCTAGCTTATCAGGGGTTATTTGGATTAAAACCTGTTAATTGATGGTTCAATAGTTGGTCGTCGAAGATCCACATGAACCATTAGCACCTCTCTTCCACCTCCATTTGCTAAGAGTTAATAAATCTATTAACAGGCCTCTTTGATCCTCACCTGCTAATTTTAGCTGTTACTAAACAGGCTTTTTTTAATGTTAGAACATCATTATCGAGCACAGCGTGATTCATGGAAACGATTATTCCAAATCTTGGTTTCGCAGCCAGTTTCTACAACAGTTTATTTCTCGAAACGACTACTGTATATGCAGCAACTTAAATTTGTGAAGTTTTAGTAGATTTTGTTTTCGCAAAAGACAACACACACAACAGCAACATCCAAAACGCACAAGCCTGAACGACACGTCCAAGAAGCTGCCGACAATAGGAAAAAAAGAGACAGCCATTTGCCCATTTGGCACTTGCGTCGCACGGAATAGTAACGTGCCCATTACCGCTATCCAAAGAGGCGTTGGATACCTGGTGGATCTTTGCCTCGGGCCGCCATGCGATGGGGGCCCATCATCCATGGCGGCAAGCGCAGCAGCAAGGCCGTGACATCGCGGCTGGGGGAATGGCTCGGCTCGAGTCCGTGCGTGGTGCGTCACGTGCGTACAGTAGCAACCAAAACCACGCGCGGATGAGGGAGGCCGCGGCGGGCCCACGGCATTATGGGCCGGGGTGCAGTACAGCAGTACGTACACTGTGCGCACACAGCGCCAAGTCCACCAGTGGTGCGACTGCGTGCGCCCGTGGTACGCCGTCGTGCAGGTGGGGTCACCCACCTCCTGTGGGACACGTTTCGACCTCTGAGCGGCCTGACAAGCGATAGAGCGCGGGCCCACGCACCGTGCCGGCTGACACGTCGGCGACGACTGCCCTGGCCCCGCCCGCAGGTTCACGGGTCATTTGACGCGGTCCGGTCCGCCGTCCGCAGGCCGCAGCACTAAGGTACGGGGCCCATATGTCAGTCCCCAGGGAGGAGGGCCATCGGCTCAAGCGAATTGTCACGTCGCGCGCCCAGCTCCGCTCTGCACCGCCGTGTCAGCAAAGGACATAGGAGTATTTTCTTGCATCGGAACGGTATCTTCTTGCCTCATCTCTAGTAGTCTAGTGTAGAAACAGGTTAGTTTTTGCAGACGGCTTGTTTATTTTTTGTATTTAAAATAAAATACGGAGGAAGCATTTGATGGAGATCCTGCTTGCGGATGATTACGCTTTTTTTTTGAAAAAAAATTCAGTCCAACATACACTGTTTTACCTTGAATAAGATACTAGCAGCCCAAGATAAAAAAAAAAACTCTTTTCTTTCTTCGGTCTAGTTCTATCAGACTCCATGTATTTCTGTTGCGAAAAAAAAACAATTTTTTTACGCACTTCAAGTTGGGATTTTGTGATGGACAATTTAACACTGCTAACTTCGTTACGATACTGATGACGGGGAATCCTGCACACCAGTTATAACTCCCACACACAAGTATACCAAACGCACTTGCCCGTCTTGCATGAGGGTATGTATAGGCTGTGCCTCTTGTTTGAAGCTTCGACGTGTACCAGCGCGCAACGCGACCACCTAAGAGTTCCTACCAAAATGGTAGAGTTCTCCTCGGTGGCGGAACCAAGGGGTCAGCAGGGGCATAGTCCTCCCCCCAAGCACAGTAGATTGTATTGAATACCTATATAAATATTTAAATTTATAGCACAAAAAAAATTAATTTTGACTTATTTTTATTAAAATATTATGATTTTGGTTATAAATAGTGTAAAAGTTTTTAAAAAGTTCTTAAAGCATATAATTATGTATATTTTGTTACACTAAAAAAATACGATTATATTTGTACGGACCCCTTAACCAAAATTGTTGGTTTCGCCTCTGGTTCTCCTGGTGTACTAAGTATTAATAAGAACACTATCATCAGTCTAGCACATGGTAATCCTCAGATTCTAGTTGTGAGTGCTGTGACTATGTACGACATTATTACGTATAATAGTGTGTTTGGTTAAGAGCGAGATAGAGACTAAGATCTATAGTTAGCTGTTTATATGATCTAGTTTGAACACTATCACCAGTCTAGCTCATGGTAATCCACAGATTCTTGTTGTGAGTGTTGTGACTATGTCCGGCATTATTACGCATAATAGTGTGTTTGGTTAAGAGCGAGATAGAGACTAAGGATCTATAGTTAGTTGTTTATATGATCTAGTTTGGCTTACATCAGTTGAGTCAGTTTTCATTGGATCAGGCTTGAGCTATGCAATGGTTTAATGTTTGGTTGACTGTATCTTGTTTGCTTGGCCGAGAAAAGATGTTGTTCAGTTGCATGCGTGAAGATATGATGCATGAGGTAAAAATAATACAAGGTTATGATTATATTTTTTTGTGTAATTATACTCCTAAGTCCTTATTTTACCTTATTATGTCTTAAAATTCTTTAAAATACATTAATTTCACTTGAAATACATTAATTTCGAACTGATATGGCTATGCCTACTAGAGGATCTATGCCTCGGGCTGCCTATGCTACAACCCAGACCCTAGACAAACAAAAATCACAACCGAGCTACTTAGAAAGTGCAAATAAAAGTTATAAAATTGCAAAAGATTATGAGATTCCTTTCTTCTTTCTCTGTCTTTCTCAATCAAACTCATGTATTTCCGTTTTCTCTATAAATGGAAATGGAGGATGGTCTTCGCGTGGAAAAAAAACATTGACCCACAGCCTAGGAGAAACAGTTATTGGAAGTGCTCGGTAATATAAGCTATTATATTAGGGCCATTTCATTTCTTCTTCCTCAAAAACGGTGTCAATAATTCATCTGTTCTAAACTAAATCAACGTTTAAAGTTGTCTTAAATCAAATTATTTTGAGTTTCACTAAAATTATAGAAAAACATTAATATTTATTTCATCAAAATTAATATTTATTTCATCAAATTACTATCAACAGATACATCATGATAATATATTTTCATCATATACTTATCTGGTGTCTCTTATACTTCCTGACAAAGCGATTAAATTTAAAATAGCTTGATTTAAATATGATTCTAAGAATTATTTTATTTTATGATGGCGGGAGTATATAGAATTTTCACTACATGCTATGCTAACTGCTAATAGGTTCTTAGCATCCGGTTATTGATGATCAAGCTCGTG